TCCAGCTTGGAAATCTCTATTGAAAGTAAATGAGGTAAACTTCAGCTGAGCAAGGCACTAAAAAGGAGAACATTTACAGTAGATATGATTTGAATAATCTTATAATCTAAGAGGCTGCGGTACCTAGGAATGCATAAAACATTCAGCACCACAGCTTAATTTTCTTGGAATAGATACTTCTATTCCAAATAAGTTGTTGCACATTCATGACTATATGCCAGAAGTATGAGCACTATATACTTGTTAACAGATACGCGAGCCATTATAATGACCAGAAGTGGGCACTATTATTATTTTTGAAGTATAGGAAGGAGAGATTTGTTCGGTACCGCTCACATTATCCATTATCCATATCAATGGACCAGGATAACCATACACAAAATCTGGACGAATGATCTAACTCATACAGTTATAAAGCAAAATCATAGTATTATCTTTTTTTTAGTACTCATCCTCGTGAAAAAACAAATAAAGCACTTTGTCCTTCTCCTTAGGTGAACAACACCAGCTTGGCGTTGGGGACAAAAGCCCGCTGGTCTTTGCAGCTCACATAAAAATCATGAATGAATTATTGGAGAAACATTGATTCCTGAAACAAAATGAGCTTGTTTTTGCTGTATGAACCAGGAAATTAAACAAGGAAAAAATCATGCATAAATCATGGTCGGTCTAATCGAGTCAAACAAGAACGGACATCTTTACCATATCACTCTTGCTACAGAAGGAATCCATTGCATTGCAAAGTCTTCTCCACGGTTGGAGAAGATTCAACACTAGTTCATGAGATCAAATACCAACAGTTCAGCAGAAAACAAATTGCCAATAAAGTAGCCAAACAAGCAAAGCACAAGTTGAACGATCCTGACTCGTCTTGCAATTCTGTCGCCTCCAAATCTTGGCTCTCTCTCAACTCTCGGGTGTGGGTGGTTTTCTCATCGGTGCCTTGCCTCTTTTGGGGTAATATGCACCATAGCTAGAAATCTATGCAACAGCCAAGGGGGGCAATCAATATCATCAAGACAATCATTTTCTTGATTTATTTAAGCATTCAATGATCATGAATTCATCCTATTTGTAAGTCCAAGAAGAAACAGCAATGAATCAGAACTGTGGTTGCTTTGTTCATGCCAAACCAAGTCACCTCCCTCAGGTGGTTGCTTTGTTCTTGCTAATTCTTAGTCAATCGAGCTTTGATTTAAATATGTTTCCACTCATGTTGCACAACGTCTACTACCAGAGAAAACCTAGTCCGCTCACTCACTAAGGCTTACTATTTGCATTATTACTATATATGGATAGCACATTGTGGTCCAACTCGCTGACAAGGAAGGCGATCAAAATTCCTGGAGGCAGCTGCAGTGACCCTTTATGCAAGGAGGCATAGGCCTACGATCCAAAGAAGCAACTCATCAAATTACAAATCTCAAAGAATGTCATTGTGGGACAGGGTTGTGGCCTATATAAAAAAAAGTATATTAAAGGATAGGGTTGTTTTTAACATGTTATATGCAGCAGGCTATAGTTGACATAATGTGCTCTGAAAAAAAATTCAAAATGTTGATTATCTAGTTTTATGCTGGGAAAGAAAAATCACAAGTTGCTCTAACCAAGTAAAATATAGTCTACCATTTCATAGAACAAAAAACAGTCTATTTCTAGAAGTATAATCTGAATTTAACGAAGACTGATAAAAGTAGTAGTTCATTAGATGTTCAGGAGCCACTGTTCATGGGACAAAATATCGACAATTTATAGATTGCTAACATAAGCACAATAGTACTAGCAAATTCCTTGTACACACCTGTTCAACCACAACCGTGCTGCACACACAAAAAACCGGCCTGCTATAACTCCTCGACAACAACAAATAATACTGCCTTTCGTGTCAAGAATGCAGAAAAGATATCAGGAAAAAAAAACTGACAGACCTCAACAATTATTAGCTTCTCTTAAAGATGCTTCAATCTCATCTGGATGGCCTACTCTACTCATAATTCTCCATCTCAACACATAACTGTGTTTTGTTCAACTGAGGGATCACAATAGTCTGCTAAGTGACTTAATCAGCAGCTTGATGTTCTGTCGTGTCGCCTCATCGCCAGTGAAACCAGAGATGTCTGAGCTGATGCTCTGAAAGTAACCAAGGACACATGTAAAAACCTTGCTTGCCTCCAGTTCCAGAAATAACTAAAGATACAGATAACAGACCTCAATGTTCTTCAAAGTAAATATAAGGGTGAAAATAGACTGCTTGATTAGATCACTGTTCTCAGGGGTAAGCATGGAAGACTTCAACCTTCTGCAAGGTGGCATAAGGACAAGTAAGATAAAGAGTGCCATAAATTTTGCACTTCCGATGCTATAATAGAGCAGAAACAGCAGTTGGTAGGATTAATCAAGTACCTTAAATCGCCGGATGCCTCAGCCAGACCTTTAGCTATGGTTTCCACATCCTTCACCAGATCACTCTCACGCACCTCCGAGAGCAAAGGTTGAACTTCTTCAGCTAATGCTTCAATCTGTTCCATCACTAACATTTAAGTTGATGCATATGACATTTAATGGCACAACTAGTGACCACTATGTTCCTCTATTGTCTGCAAATAAGTTGAGATCCAGGAAACTGCATATATGTGGAGAAGGCATCAGCCACCCTGTTTTTGCAAACAGAAAATAAAAACCTAACAACATATGCCAACTGAGTGGAGGTCTTTCCCCTTGATGATGGCCCTGAAACAGTTAGCCAAGCATACTAGCCAGTGGCCGGGGTAGGTATGCAATAGCAACATGATGGACCTAATCTTGGAATTTTCAGCAGTTCAACCCAAGTCCCACGGAAGTATGCGAAACTTGTATCAGTTTTGACAGAGTTAGTTTTGAGCTCTAGTATTGTAAAGATGACCAAGTTTTTTTTAGCAGTATTAAAACAGACTATGTTACTTGGTATGCTGCCCAATACCCATCATATGCAGGACATATATGGAAAACATGTTGACGCTCAGAGATGAGTATCAATAGTCACAAAATTAGGACATAATATATGCCATCACTTGACAAGAAATGCTATGAGGTAATGCAGAACCAGCCCCCTATATAGTACCACATGCATTTGGCAAACGAGTCTTTCTTCACAAATAAAAAGAACTGAGGTTTGGGAAACACTACTGCAAGAATGCAGACCTGCTTCGCAGAACTTCATCAGGTAGGGGTCATTTTAATTTTGTAAAATGAAATCCTATTCAGAAGTATCGAGTAAAACGGAGTGGTTTCACAGATAATTCATTAGCTAAATGTGGCAAACGTATCAAAGGATGCAAAATGTCACACAAGAATTAGTCAGAAAATTGTACCCGTGAAAGGAGAGGTTGTGCTTCTTCCATTATAGATGCAACCTTTTCTGCCAACTTGAAGCTTTTTTGAACACCAATTTCCTCCATGTCTCTTCCTAAACGGGTAAATATACCAACCAGTGCATCTAAGCTTACTCCTTGATGTCCTTTCATTCTCTCTTTGTCACAAAGGATTAAGCCTTCTTTGGAACAGTCTGCGTCAAGTGGACCAACTGAAGGTGTAGGGAGTGGATCTTTTGGTGTAATGTCAATCATTGTCTCCATTAAGAGACCAGATTGATTCACCTCAACCAATGAATTACGGGGCACAATAATTTTATCATCTTCAACCTGCCATATAGAAGAATTCATCTATCAGAGATTGAGTCCAAAAAAGGGAAGTCTTCTATCGTACAGCAAAGAAACTGCAGCACAGGAAAAAACAAGGGAACTATTGATAACAACTTACTAGCATGCCACACCCACTCACTATCATAATGGAACAGGAGAAATGTGACAAAATGATTTATTGGGCAAACTAAATTATGGTTCAGTATTGAAAAATGCTTACACGAATTGCAAGCACTCAGGAAGAGAAGGCAAAGCAACACCTTCCAGAGTGAATTTTGTCAGAGTTCGGGACTAACAACTTTATTTTGTGTTCAGTTTCCACATACTACATTCTACACAGTACAGTGAGAAATCTATGGATACCAGTAAAAAGGGAACTATTGACATGAATTATTGATGAAAAAAGAGGAGAGAGCAAGAAGTGTTGATGCGCACCTCAACATATGCATCAATACTCTTGAGCGAAGAGTCGACACGGACGACGTTCCCAACGGTGACCCCGCGTATCCTGAGGGGCGTGCCCACGCAAATCCCGCACGCCTGGCTGAACTCGAACACGGCATTATACTTGCGGAACCGCGACCGCAGCTGGAAACCCCGGAGCCACGCAAGCGCGAGCGCCAGCAGGACCGCCCCGGAGACCATGAAGAGTCCCACACCGCCTTCCCACACGCTGCGCTTCCCGAATCCATAATCCCCTAGCGGTTGCACCGTCCGTTGCCACAGCTCGACGAGTGGGGCCAACAGGTTATTGCCGCCATTAGTCGAAGGCGAGGGCTCGCCGCCGCTCGAGGCTGCCGCATTGGTACAACACAAGAATCTGCGCCCCCCAAGAAAAAACAAGAAACAGCAAGAATATGACTATTTGCTAGGCTTCCTCAGTATGCATAGCAGCAGAAACATACTACTACAAGCTCCACAGGATATAAGTCTAATCTCACTGTCATAGTGGAAACACAGGAAAAGTTCTACAGCCTGACTCCCACCCTTGTCGTGATTATTACAACGTTTCTATCACAAACCATCACCGCAGCCCAGAACCTTAGAGAAAGCGGAGGAAGAGGAATCAGAGTGGCTTACCTATGGCGGAGTGGAAGAAGAGGCCGCCGCGCGGAAGGCGTCAGGGCGAGCGCCGGCGCGGGCAGAGCTCCTTCGCCGGCCAAACTGGTGGCCGGACGGCGCCGTCTCCGTGCCGCGGTCGCCCAGGGCACTCCCGCCAACAGCGCTGCTCCGCGCTGTGGCCCTGTCGGTGGCCCAGTTCCCGACCGCACGCCTCGGAGGGCGGCGGCGAGCAACGTCCCACGCCGGCCCCGGTTCCCTCCGGCCGCGCAACGGAGGAGGCGTGGAGGGAGCAGCAGGGGCGCGGGAGCCGCGCCCGTGACCCTAGGATTCGCCGCCGCGGCCATCGGGCCCCCACCGCCGTGGATCCGTGGAGTCCGTCGCTGGAGAGGTGGAGGAGCGAGGGCGTGGCCTGTGCGGTTGGTTGGGCCCGATGGGGATATTGGGATGGTTGGGCCTACTGAAAATTCGGGGGCTATTCTCCTCTGCAGGAAAAAAAATCTCTCACTTACGCTGATGGCGGACGCGAACGTCGTTGTTGACCATTTCTCGTCAGTGTCGCTGTGATGCAAAAACGTCTGGGTTCGTTAGAGCATCTCCAACAGGCGCGGGACGCGCCGCGCGCAAAAAACAGATTTGTCGCACGCGCATCGTCTGATTTGACGCGGCGCGCAGCACTGGCTCCAGCAGCCGCGCTAAAATGCAGCGCGCGCGCCGCTCCAGCAGCGCGCTAAAATGCAGCGCGCGATAACATTTTCGAAAGCATAAAAATAAAGATAAAATTGCATAGATAAAAAATAAAGATAAATTACATAGATAAAAAAACGATACAAAGGTATTTTACATCGGTACAACTAGATAGATAGTTCGAAAACATAGATAGATAGAACTACGGTGCAAGTAGATAGAAACTACTATGGCATACTAGATAGAAACTACTCCAAATCGCTACCATCATCATCACCATCATCATCCTCGTCGGTGTCGTCCGAGGTATCGAGCCACATGTCGTCCCAACGTTCGTCGTCTGTCGTGAAGATCGACCTCCCACCTGCTGCAACGATATCGGACTGCGCATTCGCCAATGCCTTCCGCCGACGCCGGTCCACCCGCTCCGCGCGGCGCCTTGCCGTCCTCTCCGCCCAGTAGGCACGCTCATCGGCGACGTCCTCCAGGTGGCGACGGCGCCACTCCGCCATGGCTCGCTCGTCCTCCTCGGCGATGAGAAGGCGGCGGCAGCGCCGAGCGTGGTCGGCACGGTCCATGTCGGTGATGAGACACGGCGGAGGGGCGACGCGCTGCGCCTGCTCGCGCGTGAAGACGTCCCTGAAGTTCATCTGCGTCCGGGGCCTATCCAACCGCCACGCCGCCGCGTCGTACGCGCGGGCCGCCTCGTACGCGCTCCGGAACGACCCGAGGCCGAGCCGGACGTCGCCGGACCGGATCTCGGCGGAGTACCAGCCGTTGGGGCACTCGCGGACGCCGCGGTAGCCCGACGAACCCCGGCGGCGCGGCGGCATGGTGGCGCGGTGGTGGCGCGGAAAGCGGCGAAGCGGCGAGGTTGCGAGGTGAGGGCGCGTGGCTGTGTCTATGCGCGTGGCGAGCGCGGCATTTTATAGGCGCGCGCGAAGCGGCGCGCCAAATCTACCGCGCCGCGTGCCGCTTTCTCCCGCGCGCGCATACGCTTCCCGCGCGCGGTAACTTCCCGCCACCGCTGGAGCGCGCGGAACCAGCTGGCGCGCGCTAAACGCAAATTTTACCGCGCGGGCGCGTCTTTTGCAGCACCTGTTGGAGATGCTCTCAGGCCTGTACCTGTACAAGGAGGTGTTTAGAAAAATAAATCGGGTTTTTGTGAAGCATTGGTGTCTATTTTTATATGAGAGACGTCTAATTAAGCGTCTACCTTGTACAAATAAGCCCCAGTGTTTAAGAAAAATATGGTTTATTTCTCCAAGCATCTCTTCTATGCATCTTGCATTGTACACGGCCTTAGAGCATCTCTAGCAGTAGGGATGAAAACGAAGCGGAAACAGACGATACTGTGTGCTATCATATTTGTTTTCATTTTTTTAGAAACGGAAACGAATATAGAACTCCAAAAATGAATACGGAAATAGATACTACTGAAAACGGATATGGAGCGAATACATAGCGGACACATAAACAGAAGTGTGTGTTGACCGGAACTTAAAACCCCCTTGAATAATAGAGAAACACACAGAAACAAATTTAATGAATTGTTAACATGGATACAAAATAATATGGTTGTGTTAGCAACTTAGGGTAGTATTGTAGTACTAATGGACAAGTTCATAAGGGAATTTTATTTCTGTGCCCCTGGTTCTTAGTTCTACTCATTCATACCCACGATTTTAACTTTTGCTCACTTTTCCCCACTTCCTTGGCTGAAACCCTCAGAATTGGTCAAAGCGGACGTTACCGTCGGGTCAATGGATTGACCGTTAACTCTGAGAGTGGGGCTGCGTAGGGCCGAGTCCACATTTTGACCGTTACGTGCTAACCAGTGGGGCCGCGAAACTGACACTCACTGTAGGTTCCCCTCACTGTAACCTGAATCAGATCGAGTTGCTTCCGCGCCGCCCCCTCCGTCGCCGTCGTGCCGCCTCTGCCACCGTCGTGCCGCCTCCGTCGCAGTCGTGCCGCCTCCGCCGCATCTACCCTCTCTCCCCATCTAGGATTAGGAAGCGATGTCGGGGGAGCACCCCGTCTGGTACATCGACCGTGTAGATGACTGGGTCGAATCAGAGGCGGATAATTCATGGATTCCACATGGGTAAGCATCGTTTTGCTCTCAAATTGATTAGGAGATCCGTAAATTAGGTTGTATTTGACCAACGTTAGCATGAATCAGTGCAATTTATCTGAAAAATTTCGGCCTAACTGTGCCCTTTATCTTATCTCAATCGAATAGGGTTGATCCTGCACTTGCTTTTCGGCTGGCGGTTAGAATGGAAACTAGCGAGCTACGTGGAACTAAACCGTGTCTGATCTCTGGGTTTTTCTATTCTAAAGTGGTAGAAACCAGCGTTTCGTTCACAGATTTCCGCGACACACTCTGTTGTGAGTATCCGTGGAGCCCTGCCGATGCTGTTGAACTGGGATATTTCAACAGTACCGAGCAGAGATTTGTCCCATTAACTTGTGATGAGCATCTGGGATTGCTATTTAGTTTGAATGCTGACAGTCGTTTCGGTAAAATCCATATTTGGCGTGCTTCAAGCACGCAAACAACGTATCCTGAAGGGGAAGGGTGTTCAGACATCATCTGTCTCTGCTAATAGCGAGCGTCCTCGCACTCCTTGTAGGTCGAGACCAGGTAAACCTAGTGGTTCTGAAAGCCACAACATGTCGGCTGCCACTAATTCTGCCACTTCTCCTCCCCCTTCTGCACCTGATGTAGAAGTAGATGCAGAGCCCGACGAGGAAGTTCCTCGACATGATGATGAGGATGAGATCCTATTCCCTGAACTGGTAGATAGAGTTAGTCAACAGGCAGTGGAAGATGAATATGTAGAGGAGCCTAGCAGTTGTGCTAGATTTGATGACACTGGCGATGAAGAGAGGGAGGAGAACATCGACTCCTTAGTTTTATAAGAATATGATGGTGAGGACATGCCAAGAATTGAGTGGAACAGAGAGAATCCTGAGCTTACTCCAGGAATCGTATTTGCATCGATGGTGGACTGTCGTAATGCAGTGACTACATATTGCATTCTCACTGAAAACTCCTATGAGGTTGATAGGAGTGAGCCAAGAAGATTCACTGTTCATTGCCCTTATGATAGGTGTAGGTGGAGGTTTCATGCATCCGTTATGCTAAAGAGCAAATTGATTCAGGTATTACAACAGAATATTTTCATCAGATTATTTATCCATTCTATATTCAGATCGTGTGTACTGTTTCTTAATTGTATTTGACATCATTTTTCATTTTGTTTCAGATAAAAAGCAACCCACACGGGCACACTTGCCCACCTGGGGAGGGGGGGGAGGACAAATCTAAGCTTGCAAAGAATAGGTGGGTGGCAGATGCAATCTTGGATTGGGTGAGGGAAACACCAACAATTGGTCCAACAACACTCCATGGGAAGCTATTTGAGAAGTACAAGATTAATATACCTTACATGAGGATTTTCTATGCTTAGGAAAGGGCTCCTGATAGGATTAATGGTCCATGGAATGAGAGTTTTCAGTTGCTTTACACCTTCAAAGCTGAAGTGGAGACGGCTGATGACTCACAAGTATAGGGGATCTATCATAGTCCTTTCGATAAGTAAGAGTGTCGAACCCAACGAGGAGCAGAAGGAAATGATAAGCGGTTTTCAGCAAGGTATTCTCTACAAGTACTGAAATAAGTGGTAACAGATAGTTTTGTGATAAGGTAAATTGTAATGAGCAACAAGTAACAAAAGTAAATAAGGTGCAGCAAGGTGGCCCAATCCTTTTTGTAGCAAAGGACAAGCCGGAACAAACTCTTATAATAGGAAAAGCGCTCCTGAGGACACATGGGAATATCATCAAGCTAGTTTTCATCACGTTCATATGATTCGCGTTCGGTACTTTGATAATTTGATATGTGGGTGGACCGGTGCTTGGGTCTTGTTCTTACTTGAACAAGCATCCCACTTATGATTAACCTCTATTGCAAGCATCCGCAACTACAACAAAAGTATTAAGGTAAACCTAACCATAGCATGAAACATATGGATCCAAATCAGCCCCTTATGAAGCAACGCATAAACTAGGGTTTAAGCTTCTGTCCCTCTAGCAACCCATCATCTACTTATTACTTCCCAATGCCTTCCTCTAGGCCCAAATAATGGTGAAGTGTTATGTAGTCGACGTTCACATAACCCTACTAGAGGCTAGAAAACATACATCTTATCAAAATATCGAACGAATACCAAATTCACATGACTACTAATAGCAAGACTTCTCCCTTGTCCTCAGGAACAAACGTAACTACTCACAAAGCATATTCATGTTCATAATCAGAGGGGTAATAATATGCATATAGGATCTGAACATATAATCTTCCACCAAATAAACCAACTAGCATCAACTACAAGGAGTAATCAACACTACTAGCAACCTACTAGCACCAATCCCGGACTTGGGGACAAGAATTGGATACAAGAGATGAACTAGGGTTTGGAGATGAGATGGTGCTGGTGAAGATGTTGATGGAGATTGCCCTCTCCCGATGAGAGGAGCGTTGGTGATGACGATGGTGATGATTTCCCCCTCTCGGAGGGAAGTATCCCCGGCAGAACAGCTCTGCCGGAGCTCTAGATTGGTTCCGCCAAGGTTCTGCCTCGTGGCGGCG